TGTAAAAGCGTCTGTGTGTAAAAACGTCTGTGTGTAAAAGGCTTTGTGTGTAAAAGCGTCTGTGTGTAAAAGCTTCTGTGGGTAAATGCGTCTGTGTGTAAAAGTGTCTGTCTGTGTAAAAGGGTCTGTGTGTAAAAGCCTCTGTGTGTAAAAGCGTCTGTGTGTAAAAGAGTCTGTGTGTAAAAGCTTCTGTGTGTAAGACTGTGTGTAAAAGCCTGTGCGTGTAAAAGCGTCTGTGTGTAAAAGCGTCTGTGTGTAAAAGCGTCTGTGTGTAAAAGTGCCTATGTGTAAAAGCGTTTATGTGTATATAAAGGAGTCTGTGTGTAAAAGCTTCTGTGTGTAAAAGCGTTTCTGTGTAAAAGCGTCTCTGTGTAAAAGGGTCTCTGTGCAAGCGTCTGTGTGTAAAAGCCTCTGTGTGTGAAAGTGTGTGTGTGTGTAAAAGCATGTGCGTGTAAAAGCCTCTGTGTGTGAAAGTGTTTGCGTGTAAAAGCGCCTGTGTGTAAAAGCGTCTGTGTGTAAAAGCGTCTGTGTGTAAAAGCCTCTGTGTGTGAAAGTGTTTGCGTGTAAAAGCGTCTGTGTGTAAAAGCTTCTGTTGGTAAAAGTGTCTGGGTGTAAAAGTGTCTGTGTGTAAAAGCGTCTGTGTGTAAAAGCCTCTGTGTATAAAAGCCTCTGTGTGTAAAAGCGTTTGTGTGTAAAAGCCTCTGTGTGTGAAAGTGTGTGTGTGTGTAAAAGCATCTGCGTGTAAAAGCGTCTGTGTGTAAAAGCTTCTATGTGTAAAAGCGTCTGTGTGTAAACGCTTCTGTGTGTAAAAGTGTCTGTGTGTAAACGCTTCTGTGTGTAAAAGCGTCTGCGTGTAAAAGTGTCTGTGTGTAAAGGCGTCTGTGTGTAAAAGTCTCTGTGTGTAAAAGCGTCTGTGTGTAAAAGCGTCTGTGTGTCTGTGTGTAAAAGCGTCTGTGTGTAAACGCTTCTGTGTGTAAAAGCTTCTGTGTGTAAACGCTGCTGTGTGTAAAAGCGTCTTTGTGTAATTTGTGTAAAGGCGTCTGTGTGTAAAAGTGCCTGTGTGTAAAAGCGTCTGTGTGTAAAAGCGTCTGTGTGTAAAAGCGTCTGTGTGTAAAAGCTTCTGTGTGTAAAAGCGTCTGCGTGTAAAGGAGTCTGTGTGTAAAAGTGTCTGTGTGTAAACGCCTCTGTGTGTGAAAGTGTTTGTGTGTAAAAGCGTCTGTGTGAAAAAGCTTCTGTGGGTAAAAGTGTCTGTGTGTCAAAGTGCCTGTGTGTAAAAGCGTCTGTGTTTAAAAGCGTCTGTGTGTAAAAGCCTGTGTGTGTAAAAGCGTCTGTGTGTAAAAGCGTTTGTGTGTAAAAGCTTCTGTGTGTAAAAGCGTCTGTGTGTAAAAGCCTTTGTGTGTGAAAGCGCGTGTGTGTGTGTGTAAAAGAAAAGCGTGTGTGTGTGTAAAAAAGTCTGTGGGTAAAAGTGTTTGTGTGTAAAAGCGTTTGTGTGTAAAAGCTTCTGTGTGTAAAATTTGTAAAAGTCTCTTTGTGTGAAAGTGTCTGTGTGTAAAGGAGTCTGTGTGTAAAAGTGTCTGTGTGTGAAAGCGTTTGCGTGTAAAAGCGTCTGTGTGTAAAAGCTTCTGTTGGTAAAAGTGTCTGGGTGTAAAAGTGTCTGTGTGTAAAAGCGTCTGTGTGTAAAAGCCTCTGTGTATAAAAGCCTCTGTGTGTAAAAGCGTCTGTGTGTAAAAGCCTCTGTGTGTGAAAGTGTGTGTGTGTGTGTAAAAGCATCTGCGTGTAAAAGCGTCTGTGTGTAAAAGCTTCTGCGTGTAAAAGCCACTGTGTGTGAAAGTGCCTGTGTGTAAAAACCTTCTGTGTGTGTCAAAGCTTCTGTGTGTAAAAGCGTCTGTGTGTAAACTTTTCTGTGTGTAAAAGCGTCTGTGTGTAAATGCGTTTGTGTGCAAAAGTGTCTGTGTGTAAAAGTGTCTGTATGATTCTGTATGTAAAAGTGTTTGCGCGTAAAAGTGTCTGCGTGTAGAAGTGTCTGTGTGTAAAGGCGTCTGCGTGTAAAAGCCTATGTGTGTAAAAGTGTCTAGTGTCTGTGTGGAAAACCGTCTGTGTGTAAAACCTTCTGTGTGTTAAAGCTTCTGTGTGTAAAAGCGTCTGTGTGTAAAGGCGCCTGTGTGTAAAAGTCTCTGTATGTAAAAGCTCCTGTGTGTAACAGCTTCTGTGCAAAAGCGTTTGTATGTAAAAGGTTCTGTGTGTGAAAAACAATACGAAGGATACGATGCAAGAAAGGTATCGCCGCTGATAGCGACCCGGGGCCTTTCATCGCCACATTCAAACCTGCTTGTCTCCAATTCCCCACGTTTGGTATGTTTTCTTTCATATTGGAAGTTTGCACACATGCATTTTGTACATTTTTTTGCATAGGGGTATGTGCATCATGTTCAATTTGCAATGTCATGGCGATCCACGCCTCTCTTTCTTCTGCGGGGTCATGTTTTCGGACACTTATCCTCGATGCTTTGCAGCTCTTGTGGCCAATGCATCTGCCAGATTCATTTTCTGATTCCAGCGAAACTGAAAGGATCGCACATACTGCTCAAGCCATGCAGCATCTCTTGTGCCCAATCCTTCATGAGTGCTCAAATCTTTGGGCACATACTTTTTCAGATGGCGCCACGCCTGATCGAGCAATTGTGTTCCAGTGAACTTTCGTTTGCCTTTCACTCTGACCATCTTACTGACCTGCATCTTCACATGGACCACGTTGCGAAATGGCAGGCGAAATTTTCCGCACTCCGACCGCCAAGACTTGGCACCAACCCTATGTCCACCGTAGCGTGCACATCCGTCGCAACTTCAAACCAACGTCAACATGCCCCACCCCACCCAACAAAACCCTATGTCCACAGAGCGTGCACTCCGATGGCCAACTTCAAACCAACGCAACATGCCCCACACAAACAGCCTATGGTCCACCCGTAGAGTGCACATCCGATTGCCAAATTCAAAACAAACGTCACCGTTAGCGTGGGCCATCTGTTGCAACTTCAACCAACGTCGACATGCCCCACCCCACCCAGCCCAATGCCACCGTAGCGTGCCACATCCGATGCACTTCAAACCAACGTAAACATGCCCCAACCCCACCCAACCTATGTCCACCGTAGCGTGCACATCCGATGCAACTTCAAACCAACGTCAACATGCCCCACCCCACCCAACCCTATGTCCACCGTAGCGTGCACATCCGATGCAACTTCAAACCAACGTCAACATGCCCCACCCCACCCAACCCTATGTCCACCGTAGCGTGCACATCCGATGCAACTTCAAACCAACGTCAGCATGCCCCACCCCACCCAATCCTATGTCCTCCGTAGCGTGCACATCCGATGCAACTTCAAACCAACGTCAACATCGAGCATGCTCCACCCCACCCAACCCCTATCAACTGATGTGGGTAGAAGCAAGAACAAAGAAACACTGACGGAGAAAACATGCCACCATGCCGAGCTAAAATGCAACCAACAGTTGTGGAACGAAAGCTTGCCGTCTGAGAGTCTGACCTGGTAGAGCAGCAGACTTTGAAGATATTGCTATGGGGTCGCTAACAGAGGCGTTAGCTGAAAGTGTAAAAGCCTCTGTGTGTGAAAGTGTGTGTGTGTGTGTAAAAGCGTCTGTGTGTAAAGTCTCTGTGTGTAAACGCGTCTGTGTGTAAAGCGTCTGTGTGTAAAAGTGTCTGTGTGTAAAAGCGTCACTGTGTGTAAAGGCCTCTGTGTGTGAAAGTGTTTGTGTGTAAAAGCGTCTGTGTGTAAAAGCGTCTGTGTGTAAAAGCGTCTGTGTGTAAAAGCTTCTGTGTGTAAAAGTGTCTGTGTGCAACGGAGTCTGTGTGTAAAAGCTTCTGTGTGTGTAAAAGCTTCTGTGTGTAAAAGCGTTCGTGTGTAAAAGCGTCTGTGTGTAAAAGTCTCTGTGTGTGAAAGTGTTGGTGTGTAAAAGCTTCTGTGTGTAAAAGCGTCTGTGTGTAAACGCTTCTGTGTGTAAACGCCTCTGTGTGTAAAAGCGTCTGCTTGTAAAAGTGTCTGTGTGTAAAAGTGTAAAAGTCTCTGTGTGTAAACGCGTCTGTGTGTAAAGCGTCTGTGTGTAAAAGCTTCTGTGTGTAAAAGCCACTGTGTGTGAAAGTGTCTGTGTGTAAAAACCTTCTGTGTGTAAAAGCTTCTTTGTGTAAAAGCGTCTGTGTGTAAACTTTTCTGTGTGTAAAAGCGTCTGTGTGTAAATGCGTTTGTGTGTAAAAGTGTCTGTGTGTAAAAGTGTCTGTATGATTCCGTATGTAAAAGTGTTTGCGCGTAAAAGTGTTTGCGTGTAGAAGTGTCTGTGTGTAAAGGCGTCTGCGTGTAAAAGCCTATGTGTGTAAAAGTGTCTAGTGTCTGTGTGGAAACCCTTCTGTGTGTAAAAGGGTCTGTGTGTAAAAGCTTCTGTGTGTAAAAGCGTCTGTGTGTAAAAGCGCCTGTGTGTAAAAGTCTCTGTATGTAAAAGCTCCTGTGTGTAACAGCTTCTGTGCAAAAGCGTCTGTATGTAAAAGGTTCTGTGTGTGAAAAACAATACGAAGGATACGATGCAAACTAGTGTCTTGAAGTCTTGTACTTGCAATATATTGTCTTGATACTACTTGTCTCGTCTGCCTATAATACATCTTTAATATATTGTCTTGTAATATAGTGTCTCAATACTAACAACAGAAGATTCTGCTCCTCTACGCTCTCGGGCCATCCGTCGTTTAGTTTTTATTATTTGGGGGCGAAACACACAAATGCTAGCTTTGTTTTTAAATTGTTTTCTAAAGGGGAGCAATTAAAGGTCAAATTGGCCAATCTGAGATTCTCCGAACTGGGAGATGGACCCTAGTTTTTAGTATTTGGGGTACGTTTAGTTTAGTAGTAGGAGGCAAGCATTAATTTATGAAAGGCTGTGACAGTTTTGCATAAAATTTCTAACTGTGACTGCCATCTTGCGAGGACTGGACCAAGTGGTTGCACTGCGTTCCCATCGTGGCTGGAAACTGTCGAGGAGAAGTCATTGAATGGAATGACAAGGTGCCGCATGCTGCCAGCCGGCAGCCGACCCAACGCATTACTGGGACCGTTTCCATCGAGTCTTCTGTTGGTAGGTGAAAAGAGAAGCCACGTTTGAGAGGATGAAACGGAAGGTCATTGTTTCACATGACTCCTGCTCACTTGCGGGGTGAATGCCATGGTAGTTCGGGATGCAGTTGCGACCGCGTGATATTGTTGGCAACTTTATCATACTGTATCAACATAGATGAAAGTCCGAAGGCAAATGAAGATAGCAGATGTGGCTCTGAGAGTAGCATGCGAAATATGCCGAGAGAGAAGGCCAATGGTTTGTACAGATCTGACCCTCAGGCAAATAGGTACCGCAGATAGATAAAGGCCGATAAAGGCAAAATTAATAGCTAAGTAGATATTTTTTGGACACACACACACACATATATATATATATATAGTGCCGGACAGTCAGTTAGAACATCATTTGGAAAACGTTTTTTTTTATGTCTAAAGCTATGTTTGGAACAGCCGGAAACCCTCACACTTAGAACATGGAAAACAGACCGTTTAGAACATCCCAGGATGATCTATTCACTTAACTATATCTATATGTACACAAAAGTTATCAATTAGCTGTGGAGACCCCCACACTTAGAACATCCCATGATGATCTATTGACATGTGACATAGCTATATTTATTTGCACACAAAAGTTAACAATTGGCTGTGGAGACCCCGCACTTAGAACAGCCCAAGACATTACAACATGTATATATATATATATATAAAAGGTCCTCTACCCACACAGAATATGGAATTGAAAATTTGGCTTCCCCGGGCATCCCAGGAATCGAACTTGAAAAACGATACTTAGAATATCTTAGAATACAATTGACGCCAAAAAACCTACACTTAGAATACCGTTGGACCATATAAATTCTTTCGCTTGTCCAGACGAATTCGTCATTTTTCCACAGAAATTCTTCACTTTTCTTTATATAAATCCTTCACGATTCCAAATCTTAGAATACAATTGACGCCAAAAAACCTACACTTAGAATACCGTTGGACCATATAAATTCTTTCGCTTGTCCAGACGAATTCGTCATTTTTCCACAGAAATTCTTCACTTTTCTTTATATAAATCCTTCACGATTCCAAACAAATTCTTCACTTTCCAAATTTTTGCCATATAAATTCTTCCGCTTTTTCAGTCAAATTCGGCATTTTTCCATATAGTTGCTTATTTTTTTTTCAAAATCCTTCACATGTTCCATACTAATTCTTCACTTTACCAGATTTCTTCCATATAAATTCTTTCATGTTTCCAGACAAATAGATAGGAAAACAAATCACAAGGTGTTTGGTGATAAAAATTAAAAACTGGCAGGGTCCCCAAATTGACCGATTTCTTATTACTTTGTGTACTAAAAAGTACATTTTTTCGCCACCCCATAGAGATGTATAAAGGCTTCGAGAGCAAAGGCCACATGTGGAGAGAAAAAACAACATGGAAATGGGGGAATAGTCTAAGTACATTTTCGGCAAATTTGCCTGTGCAATTGAAACATGCATATTCTATGTAAGCGGAGAAGCTTATATTTCTATAATGATCTATTGACATATCTACATTTATATGAACACAAAGTTATCAATCAGCTGTGGAGACCCCCACACTTAGAACATCCCAAGACATTACAATATATGTATTTTTCAACAATGATCTATTGACATAAACTATATTTAATTGAACACAAAGTTATCAATCAGCTGTGGAGAACCCCGCACTTAGAACATCCCAAGACATTACAATATATGTATTTTTTAAATTCTCTATTGACATAACTAAATTTAATTGAACACAAAGTTATCAATCAGCTGTGGAGACCCCCACACTTAGAACATCCCAAGACATTACATTTGTATATATATATATATTTAAATTATAATATTTTATTGACATAACTACATTTATACGATTACAAAGTTATCAATCAGCTGTGGAGACCCCCACACTTAGAACATCCCAAGACATTACAACATACATATATATATATATATATATTTATTTATCATGATCTATTGACACAACAGTTTTTCATACGATAACACAGTTACCAATCAGCTGTGGAGAACCCCACACTTAGAACAGCCCAAGACATTACAACATGTATATATATAAGGTCCTCCACCCACAGAATAGGGAATTGAAAATTTGGCTTCCCCGGGCATCCCAGGAATTGAACTTGAAAAACGATACTTAGAATATCTTAGAATACAATTGACGCCAAAAAACCTACACTCAGAATACCGTTGGACCATATAAATTCTTTCGCTTGTCCAGGCGAATTCGTCATTTTTCCACAGAAATTCTTCACTGTTCTTTATATAAATCCTTCACGATTCCAAACAAATTCTGCACTTTTCCAATTTTTTGCCATATAAATTCTTCCGCTTTTTCAGTCAAATTCGGCATTTTTCCATATAGTTGTCTATGTTTCTTTAAAAATCCTTCACATGTTCCATACTAAGTCTTCACTTTTCCAGATTTCTTCCATATAAATTCTTTCATGTTTCCAGACAAATAGATAGGAAAACAAATCACAAGGCGTTTGGTGATAAAAAAAAAACTGGCAGGGTCCCCAAATTGACCGATTTCTTATTACTTTGTGTACTAAAAAGTACATTTTTTCGCCACCCCATAGAGATGTATAAAGGCTTCGAGAGCAAAGGCCACATGTGGAGAGAAAAAACAACATGGAAATGGGGGAATAGTCTAAGTACATTTTCGGCAAATTTGCCTGTGCAATTGAAACATGCATATTCTATGTAAGCGGAGAAGCTTATATTTCTATAATGATCTATTGACATATCTACATTTATATGAACACAAAGTTATCAATCAGCTGTGGAGACCCCCACACTTAGAACATCCCAAGACATTACAACATATATACTTGTTTATAATGATCTCTTGACATCACTCTTTTTTTTGAACACAAAGTTATCAATTAGCTGTGGAGATCCCCGCACTTAGAACATCCCAAGACATTTCACATACATTATATATTTTATAATCTATTGACATAACTGCTTTTATATGAACAAAAAGCTGTCAATCAGCTGTGGAGACACCCGCACTTAGACCATCCCAAGACATTACCACACATATATGTATATTTAAATTTCTAAAATGATCTATTGACATACCTCTATTTGTAAGAACAAAAAGTTATCAATCAGCTGTGGAGACCCCACACTTAGAACATCCCAAGACATTACAACATGTATATATATATATATAAAAGGTCCTCCACCCACACAGAATAGGGAATTGAAAATTTGGCTTCCCCGGGCATCCCAGGAATTGAACTTGAAAAACTATACTTAGAATATCTTAGAATACAATTGACGCCAAAAAAACTACACTTAGAATACCGTTGGACCATATAAATTCTTTCGCTTGTCCAGACGAATTCGTCATTTTTCCATAGAAATTCTTCACTGTTCTTTATATAATTCCTTCACGTTTCCATACGAATTCTTCACTTTTCCAAATTTTTGCCATATAAATTCTTCCGCTTTTTCAGTCAAATTCGGCATTTTTCCATATAGTTGTCTATGTTTCTTTAAAAGTCCTTCACATTTTCCATACAAATTCTTTACTTTTCCAGATTTCTTCCATATAAATTCTTTCATGTTTCCAGACAAATAGATAGGAAAACAAATCACAAGGTGTTTGGTGATTAAAAAAACTGGCAGGGTCCCCAAATTGACCGATTTCTTATTACTTTGTGTACTAAAAAAGTACATTTTTTCGCCACCCCATAGAGATGTACAAAGGCTTCGAGTGCAAAGGCCACATGGGGAGAGAAAAAACAACATGGAAATGGGGGAATATTCTAAGTACATTTCGGCAAATTTGCCTGTGCAATCTAAAAAATCATATTGTATGTAAGCGAAGAAGCTTATATTTCTATAATGGTCTATTGACATAACTACATTTATACGAACACAAAGTTATCAATCAGCTGTGGAGACCCCCACACTTAGAACATCCCAAGACATTACAACATATGTATTTTTCAAAAATGATCTATTGACATAAACTATATTTAATTGAACACAAAGTTATCAATCAGCTGTGGAGAACCCCGCACTTAGAACACCCCAAGACATTACAACATATGTTTTTTTGAAATGATCTATTGACATAACTAAATTTAATTGAGCACAAAGTTATCAATCAGCTGTGGAGACCCCCACACTTAGAACATCCCAAGACATTACATTTATATATATATATTTAAATTATAATGTTCTATTGACATAACTACATTTATCGA